CGGAGCCACAGACTGGAAACCCGCCCGGGCCGCCATCTTCCCCGGAGCCGCTGCTGCAGCTGCACAAAGAACCGGAACCGGAACTCCCCCCGCCCCTCGTGCGCCCCCCGCAAGCCCTCCTGTCCGCCCGGCCGGCCGGCCGGCACGGAAGGCTCAGGGCAGCGAGACTGTGGGCTAGAGGGGCCAACTAGCGGAAAAGGCGTGTTGACCACGCCCTCCCGTCTTCGCGGCCGGGAGGCAGAACCATAGAGAAGAGCTCTGGGATAGAGAGGCCCTGTGAGCGGGCGCCCCCAGGCCGACGGGAGGATGACAGGCCCCGGAAAGAGGGACCACGGCCCCAGCCCCAGCCCCAGTGCTCTGATAAAGAGGGTGATGGTGTAATTGCTGCCTCTTGGCGCAGTGCGTTGAACTTTCCAAAGTGCTTTGTTTTTCGTTTCTTTCTCTTACTGTTATAAAAGTCCAAGGGACTGAAGAAGAGAACACACTGTTTATTCCACTTTACAAACGGGAAAGCTGAACTCAGAAAGTAAGTGACTTGGCAAAGGTCATTAGGTAAGCAGTAAAGCCAAAGCCTAGAATCCAGATTTCTGGCTCGTACATTGCCCGGGACTCATTCCACAGATGAAGTACATCAGTAATGACCTTACTAGAACTTCATCCCAACTTATTACCTGACTTTTAACCTAACCTGCTTCCAAATTTTAAGTTTCCTATGAATTTTGACCCTTCCTCCTCTCCAAAGAATCTTTGTACTAGGACTTCTCTTTGGGATCTTTGTTGCCTTTGACCCCTCTCTCTTTCCCTGCCCAGTGGTTCAAACTATTCCTGGTGTGATCGCCAGCCAGTTTCATCCTGGGAAGACCAGGGTCTCCCAGCTCAAGCCTCCTTATTCCTCCCCCGATTGTTTGGTCCCAAGCTAAGCTTAGCTCTACACACTTAATGGGCAGGCCTAGTACTATTCAGATAGAGAAGAAGACACTGAAGAGATGGTTGAAAACCCAGTTTATTAGACCAGAGGCATGCGTCACCCATAGCCCTGCCTGCTTTTCATCCTGTGCACACCCCCTGGCCTTGCTCCTGCTTCCCTCTGGAGAGGTCTGCTCTCTAAGAAACTACTAGGAACTAAAAGTTCCCAAAGATCCTATAGCCTCACTCTCCATCTCCCGGCCAGTGCACAGGTGACCTGCCACAGGTCCTGTTCTGAGGTTGAAGACCAAGAGATAGCTGGGCAGAGAAGGCCTAGGAAGGGGCAGGGCTCTGGTCTGGGAGGACCACCTGATAGAAGGGGCACAGCAGGCCCTCTACCTCCCCCATTTCTCTCTAAGGTAGAAATAGCTTTCAACTTCCCCCCCTTTCCTCCCACTACCAAACCATACCTCACCAGAAAATATAAGTGATGGGCTTGGGTATCAGGTGAGGAAAGGGGACTGGGCACCCAGGAGGAGGGAAAGGCCACTGAATGAGGACCTCAGTTTCTGCCTGTCAGCACCCCACTGCTCTACCTATAGGAGTCACTAATCCATAGCTTCCTCTGTCTTTGAAGCCCTTGGTTTGGTGTGCAGAGTGTGCCTCCATTCCGAAGGTGGGGGCTCTGTCTGTACCAGTCCCTTCCCTTGGGAGGCCACAGGCAGCCTTATAAAGGGCAC